TTTCTTGGACAAATCTTATAATGGTCATGCAAATGATTCGCCCCATTTTTACTACTACCTCCAAGATTTTTATGACAATAATTATACACTAACTTATCATTCCCATTTAATTTTACTTTTTTAAAGTCATTTCAAACAATATATGTTAATTTCCTTTTTTTCCACAAACATTACCATCGGGGGCTTGATTAGGTGAGTCTGAATCATCAATCAAGACTTCATTAGAATTTTGAGCGGGATATACAATGGGTGACTCACTTGGAGAACCAATTGGAGTTGATGAAGCTGAGGTTTGAGAGTGTTCAAGTTCAATCCCGATTGGGGATGACCTTTGATGAATACCATTACCAACTAATAGCAAGTACAAAAACACAAACCCAATGGTTTAAGTGGATTCAAGCAAACCGTTAATTAAAGTACTAGACTACTAGTGAATAATATGACTTGGACCCGTAAAAAGTGATAAAAGCTATCCTATGACCGATTCAAATAATTTGGTTATTAACTAGGTGGCAATAGTGAGGTTAATCAATGTTAATTTTCAAACTATGGCTTCTGCCCTAACCAAGTCTATCTTTAGAGTTTAGCCTCAATTTGACTCCATATATGAAAAAAAATCAAGATAGACTTGCTCACAATGATGATGAGCTTGAATATTTTGTCTTTCTTCTTATTATATTATATCTTGTTGACAATTTGGAGTTTGTATTACTCTTTTTCCTACCTTGTAGCCAATAAGCTATGAATTTATGACTTAAAAGTTCTCTAAAAAAACCATTACAGCATCATTGCCTTAATCATCAGCCACTATTTGAGTTTGTTGATGGATTTCATTTCTATTCTACATTCTATTATTCAATGTTTTATCTTTGTTTTTCTTATATTGTTCATCTATGTTCTTTTCAAACTTCTTCAATTATAATTTTCTTAAGACTTAAGAAACTAATTAGAATGACATAAGTTAGTCTATTACTAATTACCTTTCAATTCAGTAAATATTCAAATTATAGAGACAATAAGTGATCAAACTAAAATTTTTTCACTGTAAGCCAATGTTCCCAACACCTCAATGGTACAGTATGTTTAGGACAAAAACTATAAAACTAAGAATTTTTCATTACGTGATAAACACTATCAAACATGAGGTTACATCACTAGAAAACTAATTTTTTTTTTGTAGTTGTATCTCTAAAGAAAAAAGGGGGAGGAAATTAAAGTCAGAACACAATAATCATAACCCTTTCCCATTGAAATATATAAATCAATAGGCCAGGAGTGCTAATGGAACTCTCAACAACTGGCTGGTGGTGGGATAGGGACGAGATGTGTTCCAGAAAGTGGGCATTAGCTGCATCGATTATACCATTGGGGTGAAACTTCTGACCCTCCACCTTACACCTGGCTTTCCATCCATGCCACAAAATAAAAGCACCAAACATAAAGTCACCGTGTGGAAAGGAAAACATCTCCTCATTCTGGGTTCACCAGCTTGAGATCCAATCTATAAAGTTTGTCCCTTCAAAAAGATCCACCCTTAAGGATAGAGCCGATCCAAACCAAACATTCCTCATTGTAGGGCAATTTAAAAAAGTGTGTTCCATGTCTTCAACCCCTTCATTACACACCAAACACTTATTATCAAACTTCACACTATGCTTGGAGAGCTCCATCAATAAGGGAATGGCTCGTTTAAGGCACATCCAGAGGAAACAAAGGATACACAGAAGCAACTTAATTTTCCAGAAATATTTCCAAGTTACCCCTAGAAAAGCTTCCATTGCCCCTGAACTGCTATCCTCTTGAGACACTATGGTTCTGTAAGCAAAGGCACATGTGAACGAACCTGATGGGTTTAGGGTCCACACAAGTCGATCCCTAGCTCCGATAATCTGAGATTGTAATGGAATCATGGATATGGTGGTCACAGTGTGAGGATTAAAGAGGCAGTTCAGGGTCCACACAACTCCACCCCTTGTTGAAGTTCTACGGGATGAGGTAGCCAAGTTTCATGGAGGATTCTCACTTCACTACCATCCCCAATTAAATAACGGGCTCCCAAGTGAAGCAAATCTTTGCAACCGACCTTGTTGTGCCAAATTCTTAAATCAGAACTTTGGGCTTGTGAATTCACATAATAAATATTTCACTTAAGATACTTCCCCCTCAAAAGTGCACACCATAGATTTGAAGGGTTCAAAATGAAGGACCATGCTAGTTTCATTACCAAAGCATTAGTTTTGAATTCCATAGCCTTAAAGCCGAGCCCCCCTACACTCCTTGGCTTTTGTATGGAAGACCAAGCTTTTAGATAGATATGTTTGCTTTCAGAAGAGAAGCCTCACCAGAAATCTCGTGCAATAAGATGGGATTTCTTGTATTGAGATGAAATAGGATGGGATTGCAGAGATAGATGATTTGATGAGTACTTTCCGTCCTACATGAGAGAGGTAAGCAACTTTCCATCCTTTAAGTTTTGACTGCACTTTCTCCACTAGAAATTTCCAACCGACCCTTCTTTTGTTACTTCCCAAAATTGGACTTCCAAGATATTTTTCTTTCCGAGCCATTATCTTAACACCAAGTTGACGTGATAGGAGGTTCTTGTGAAGTCTATGCACATTCCTACCGAAGAGAATTGATGACTTGTCATAGTTGACCTCTTGACCTGAAATTTGATAGTGTCATGAAGCATGTTGATCTCTTGTGGAGAACAGTAGCCAAATAACAATATGTCATCAATGAACAACAGATGATTCAACCTCGGACCTTGGTTAGCTTAACTCCTTTCGGAAGGCATATTAGACAGTGTATGTCTTAGCTCCAATCAGAATGATGTATATTATGACATTTAATGTAAATGAATAAAGTATATATTTGATTCATATTATTATGGTATATTTCTGTATAATACCCTTAAACTTGATACATATGAAACTCGTGTTAGTTTAGAATCTTCACAGTCATTGGATAGATCTGGAGAGATTTATCCTACCAAGGCTGACACTGATATGCCGCCAAATTGGTTGGGGTGGCTTGTCTCAGTTACTAGAGTGAGACCTGAGATACATGCAGTGTGGGTTTTCTTGAGACCCAGAACTGGACCAGAACGATTAGTTAAGGGCAATTTTGTAACTTTATGTGTTTACCATTTGGGTCAGTGATGGAAGAGAGGTTTTTGTCCCCAATTCTTCAAAAACCTAAGGGAAGTTTTTGCTAAGGTGAAACTAAAGGGGGGTTTTATAATTATAAGAAACTTCAGGGGAGGTTTTTGTATTTTACCCTTATTTTTAAGGACAAATTTCTTAAACTACCCTTATGGTTTAGCTAATTGACTAACTCTAACCTTATTGTTTATATATTGTCTTAGAGTATCTCTAAGTTTTCTAACAATTAACTAGTTCTACCCCTATCGTTAGTGTCTGTTAATGTTCTGTTGCATATATGACACCACATGACCTATAAATTTTTTTAAAACCCAATATTACCCTTTTCTTTATACGTTTCACAATTCAAATGATCTCTTTCATTTAGCAGATAGGCAATGCTCAAGTTCATTCTGAGTATATCGTTTTGCTTTCTAGAAGCGACCTAAGAAGGAGTTTTGAAGAGAGAGAGAGAGAGAATAATCTCTTCTTGAAAGTCCAGAGTAATTCCGAGGGACAGAACAATAGTATTGGTTGGGAAATCAAAATATGGCCTTGGAATTGATTTGCAGAGGCCATGAGACACAATCTCAGGTGGACACGTATTCTTCAAAGCCCTTGAAGCCACGTTCTCTGTAACTCGCCCAATTAGCTACATGCTCCACGAGCAACGTCTCATGTTCATCTTGGTCGGCATGGTCACCGCTACCCTAGTATTCATGCTACTGTCTTCCTCCCCTCTAAAGGTTGGCCACAATTACTACCCGATACCGTAGATGTATTTCCTGACAGGGGAATCCAGATCCACTTTCCATCTTTTCATATGAAGACAAACCAAGACCAAAACTATTTGTAGTTGTAAGAACAAATATAGTAGCGTTACTAGTATTAGCTGCAGGCATGTGAGCTTGGTGGGGTCATATCATTGCTGACGATGAAGGTTTGCTCATTGTTGCACCCATTTGAGCTGCTGAAGGATGGTAAGGTGGACGGGAAGGAGTAGGATTTGGATGAGTTGGAGCACCACATCCCTGGGACTACAAATCTTGGAGGGAAGATACCGTTGGGGCTGAAAAGGAAGGGGTTGCGAATCATGGTGACAGGTGGAGCCGGGTTCGTGGGGAGACAAGAGTTCGCTTCAGTTAAAGGCAAAATCCATTAGAACAGCCTTTATTTTTACTGTCTTGTATTGAGAATATCTTTGTATTTATATGCTTTATTTTATGAGAAAATATTCTCAATATAAGATTGTAAATGACTGTTGAAACGGTGTGAGCAAAAATTTGCTCTAATAAGGGAGACAACATAATCATGTGAGTTTTTATTTAAACCAAAGTTTCTTGTGGGTGAATTAGAACTTTTCTCTGAACCAGAGATGATGTGTCGGCACTCGATCGATGGTCCATATGTTCTCAATAGCTGAGAAAATCAATGGTTGCGCCAGTTGCGCCATCCCCTGTTCCAACGTTCACTAATGACGAGCTCCCAGCCTCCGCCCTCCCCTATTCTATAGTTCGCCTGTGACGGTTACACAGCTGATAGACACTCCTTTTCTCAATCTCTCGATCTGTATTCTACCCTATTTTTTCTTGGTTCATTTTAAAAATTTGAAAGAAAATAACGATTAAAATAGACTTTTAAAATAATCTTTTTCATCTTTCTATTAATGGCGTTAATGACATTGAAATTTTAAACAATTGTCAAAACAAACTTAAAGAGTACTCCAAAATAATATATAAACAATTAGCTAAACCAACCTATTTTTAACTCCTGTCGTCTCTTTCTTTCTTTCATAGTACGACATTCAATAACAAGTTCAAATCTGCGCCCCACCGCCTCTTGCCTCACAAACGCCCCACACACTGAGCATACACTTGTTCATTCGCACACGGTCAGCATTCCTCCGTGTGGGGTTAACGAGACGGCCGTTCGCCCCAAAACTAGCCCTGACCTCTCAACCGATCCCTCATGCTTGGAATTGGCCGTCCCCTGACCCTGTTCTTTTCCCCTCCACCCGAGTTCTCCTTCTCCGGCATCGGTAACTATTCCGGTAAATTCACCTTGATCAGGTATTAACCTTGTTCTCTAATATTTTGTTTTCTCATTTCAGATACCTTGTCGTTCAGGTTCAGCCGTTCAGGTGCTTGAAGCGCCTAAACCTTACAAATAACGAACGGCTTGTATCTGTGTGGGCCGATACTATAGTGGGTTGAAGTTGAAGGGTGAGAGGTCTGAGATCCAAAGTGGGTTTACCGATTGGTTAAGTTGATCTGGTTGTGGGACGGTTGTATGAAACTAATTTGGATCCGATCCAGAGTCGCTTTCAGGCATTTGGTATGTCATGTCCGTAAGCTCTGTACCTCAAAATCAGCAATCACAAAGAATATATTATATATTGACCTTTAACATCTCACAAACAGACAGCGATTCTGTGATTCTGTTGTGTCATTCCATTCATATTGTGAATAAACACTTATTCTGGCACCCTAAACACTCGGTTCCGGCCGGTTGATACTTGAAAGYCGAGCCTCTACATTGTATTTACAACAACGCCGCAAGAACTCTTATATAGAAAAAGAACAAAAGAAGGCAGCAAAATCTGAAAAAATACAGGGAACTTATAGACACTTGTGTATTTATATATCACTATCATCAGTATTCTTTTTCATTAACTTGCGCCTCTTGTTAGCATCCCATTATTGTAGATATGAAATCTGTCTTTTTCTTTTTCATCATCATCAGCTTTGATGAAAAAAAACTGTCCCTGCCGCCTTGGTTACAGATTTTATCTATACATGAATCCTCAAAATATGAGTGTTGGAAAATACCTGATTAAGGTGAACTCACCGGAGCGGTCGCTGGTGCCGGAGAAGGAGAGTTCGGATGAAGGGGAGAAGAACGGGGTCAGGGGACGGACAGTTCAAGTACGAGGGATCGGTTAAAGGGGCGGAAATGTAGAAATGAGGGTTTTGGGTTAGTTTTGGGGTTAACGGCCGTCCCGTTAGCCCCGCACACGGGAATGCCAACCACGTGCAAATGAACAGATGGCGGACGCTCGATGTATGGGGCGTTTGTGTGGAGGGGGTGGGGAGCAGATTTGAACTGTTCAATAACATGAGGGTGCATGAGTGCCCCTCGATTCTACTGTTTTAAAGACAAACTCGACATCCTTCGATCATTATCCGACACGTGGTGCTGGATAGCAGCCCCACTTATAGACGTGGCAAGTTTAACTGAAATAGAGATCTAACGCATGATGATTTTCCAGTATCATGCCATGTCTTCCCGACAGCATAGCCACGCGGTTGATATTGACGAAAAGATCATAAAAACGACTCATCCTGATGAGATGGACGGTCTTGATCTTCCGATCACCATTAGGCATTAGCAGCACAGAATAGAATACATTCGCGTTGCTCATCGTATTAGTGACCGCACGACGAGATTTCCCGCTTCGTTGAGGGATGATGGAATTCTCGCTTGGATGGAGTGGGTTTGAGATCTTTTGTCCTTGAGATTTGGAAAAGAATGTCGGGTGATATCAATGATCTGGATGCTGAGAAATTAAAGATTCTGATTGTAAGGTATATATATTAAATGAGTCTTTGGCTTTTTTTTTCCTCTATGAAGAATTTATGGAATCACACCGCACGTACGTATAAAACAACGTGGACGAAAGTTTGGTTGGAACTTGGAAGTCTTTATTATTTAATGTTTACAGGTGAAAGGAATCGACTCTTCCCTGTTTCTCAGAATTGAAGAGCATCGGAGGACGCATCCGATTCAAGGTTTTGGTATTCCCTTTTTTTTTAATGTACTTTTGCTATATCTTGCAATCCGATTTAAAGATTTCCGTTTTCCTCTGCATTCTTGCATGATCCGTGTTCATTTATTTCTTCGGAATTTTTCTATTTTTCCCACAGAAACATTTTAGCGAGGCAAGCGTTTTATCCAGTTTTTAAAGAGTTTCATGGCGATTCCTTCTGAACAAATCACAAGCATCTGTAGTCACTGGTAAGAGGTAGCTCTATTGCGAAATTTATCTTCAATTTTCCTTTAATATTGTACATCTATTGTAGTTGATGTGGGGATTCCTGATTTTGAGGAATTCTTGTTGTAATCTTCAATCTACTTGTGAAAATCCACTTTCTTGTGAATTAAGTTTCTTTTTTTTTGTTTTTGTTTTGTAAATGATTGCTTTTGTGGCAAAATTTGTTTCTGAATTAGCTGGGTTTTGTGTAAGTTCAATGTAGTACCTAGTTTTGTTGGAGTGAAATCCTTAGCTATTCTTGTTTATACCTTGGCATGCCTCTTGTATTTTTCTTCTACATTATTTTTTTCTGCGTGCTGAATTTCTATGATTGTGCCCACATTGTAGTCTCTTGTTAGCAGCGCCAGATATGGTTGACGTTTTGGTTATCATACCCTTGCACAATTATTAATCATTTTCCTGGTTTCAACTAGTGGGGTTGCATTTGAATTCTCACAATCTTATTGCATTGCCTTTTTATGTAGAGTGAACCTCCATAGAAAATTTATGGTTGATTTGTTTAGCATAATCATATGTGGAGATGGGCATCTTCTTTACTTGCATGATTTGGACACTGGTGATTTGTCATCATGTCAGTTTTGCTAAGATTTAGCAACTTTAAAGTTCATTTCTGAAAAAAGACCCTAGTGATTTTGTTGTACTGATACATTTTCCCCGCTTGTTACATTCTTTTATTAGTACATGTTTGTCAGTGCTACCACATGTAGTTACTCCTTTTGTGTTCTCTTGACGACTTGACCCTTCTCTTTTTTATGACAAAACACCTTCATCAAATACCTTGTGCATATCTTGCAGCTTCAGATTATGGTTTAACAACTTCCATATAGGAGCTCTACTGGAAAACTTCTCTTGTAACCAAAGAAGTATTTTTAATTGACAATTTATTTATATTTTTTTTAGTGGCAAAGCTATTCCAGCCCAAAATATTGACTTGCACTATGCACACTGCTCCCGGAATCTGGAAAAATGTAAAGTTTGTGGAGATATGGTACCCAAAAGGCATGCTGAAGAACATTACTTCAATACACATGCCCCGGTATGTTGGTTTATTGCAGAAGCTTTTTCTTTTCTGGAATTGTATGGTATACATATAGTGTTATGAAACATGGTGTAGACTGAGTGGTTGAAGCTGTTCAGACTGTCACTTTGTCCCTAAAACTGGGTTTATTCAATAGCTAGTCTGGATTCTACCAAAAAAATAAAAAAAAAAGCTAGTCTGGATACAACTAAGTCAATAAAAAATATTTGTTTTATGTGTAGAGCTGGTTGAGAAATACTAGCATCATGGGCCTTGTCCATCATGGACTCTTGAAATAACAAGAGCACAAAATGTGTTTTAGCGCAAACACCGAGGATCATGGGATGTTACACCTTGATCTTTTGTAATGTAAGGGCTCTGTGATGTTCAAGCCCATGAGATCTGATCTTTGTTTCCAAAATCTTTCTTTTTATAATTTTATTTGGCAGATCTTTTTGATAGTTCAATATTAACCATTTAGTATTTTATTCCTTTTTTCTCGATATGTAACTTGTGCAAGATCCCTTCGTTATATGCAGGAAATGTAAACATACATCTGTTGTTGGTTAGAGCCCATTTTTTCTCATGTTGAGACCACCCTCAAAAAAAAAAAAAGGAAAAGAAAAGAGAGAATAAAGATAACTACAGTCACATAATTACACTCTATTCTCTTGATTCAAAACACGATCCAAACAATGAAAGGCATTCCTTTCTCCATAGAACACTGCCAAATTAGAAGTTAACTTGTCATGAATGATCCTTGTCTATACCACTCCTGGAGATTGGAATATATAGCAGAGGGAAGCAACATCTAGAGCTTCAGTTCCACTCTTCAATAGGTTTTGATGTTTTTCGCCTCTATCATGTTGTTAGATCCATGATACTGTGAGTCCATTGAAAGATCCATGAAACTCCAAATCCAAAAACTTTAAAGAGAAAGAAGAAAATTTAGGCTGTGAAGTTTGATTTAGAATGGAGTCACACCACACCTAAAAGTGTAAACTTGAAATTCTTTTGCAACAGGGTTAAACATCTTGCCTTTCTCAATCTGTTGGTGAATTTGAAAAGAAAGTAACTCTCTTTTTATTTGAAATAAAATGTACACACAGAGTCACTCATGGCAAGGTAGAGAAGTAACTGGTTTGGTGGTTTTCTATCTTACCTGAACTCAAGGCTTTAGCTTGAATTTTATTTCCCAGAACCAACAAGGCTCAATTTTTATCATTTATTTATTTTAAAGGAGACATGTAAGGTCATTGTATAGAAGGCTGGTAACTCTTTCTATTTTTTATTTTTATACTTAACATAATTATTTTTAACTAGTGTGATAGAACAAGAATTGGAAGAAATTGATATCTTTCAATTGAGAAAATAGTACATATATATACAACCTTGTAGATACTAAAAAAGGAAGAAAATCATACAGCCTTGCAGATGCTAAAAAGGAAGAAAATCATACAGCCTTGTAGATACTAAAATAGGAAGAAAATCAAAGAAAGAATAATTCCTATAATCAAGCTATTCCTAATTGGGCTAATACTACATATT